ATCTAAAGTAACATAGATATGATAAATATGCCAGACCTATAGTGTATATACTTGGTAAACTGTAAAGTTCATGCACTCAGCCAAGTTCAAAGTGCATGGACTTTGCAGTTTGCCAAGTCCAAAGTAACATGAGTTTGGCATACATGTTAGATCCAAGGTGCCTAAAATTGGTGGACAATCAAGTCGGTGTGACATTACCGATTCTAAAATTTTATGCCTGATTCCACATGATTCTCTACAATATAAATGTTAAAAACTTGATAAATCGTTATATCTTTCCATTTGAAATAATTATACACATTAAGATAATGATTTCTCTGTGCTTATAAATGTGTACAGGGTCTCTTAAGAAATCCTCATACTTGTTGACTCGTTAATGATATGTAAGAGTTTTTTGCCTCTTATTAATGTCATTGAAAGTAAAGGATTTTTTTGACTTTTTTTTAATAAAAACAACAAGGTTCGAAGGATATAAATGTCATCTGAACCATTTAGGTAAAAGATATACAAGCTCTCCTCTTTCTAAAACAAATATACAAAGACTTCAGAGTATTAACAAACTTAAAATTCAATAACAAATATCTTTGTCCTTGGAGTTTAAGGCTCTTTAAAGTTATTTATGACTTTAAATCATTTAATATTTTTCTCATAAAGATGTTAATTTTCTTATTATAGGGCCTTTAAATTCCCCCGATTGAGGTTTTTTATAAGCATTCAAGATTTTCATAGTTACCTTGAGTTCTTTAGATTGAGAAGAAATTTATAAACTTTAATACATTAATTAACCATTGTTTCAAATACTAAATAACCTTTTTATTTATACATTTTAGAATTTAGAATATCGTCAATATAATAAGATAATGTCTTTCTCAATGACATGCATAGCACATGAAGGAGTATAATATGTCATGTTATACATACATATATACATATGTGTCTATATATATATATATATATGAGAGGATTTAAATCTATTTTAAATATTTAATTTATGATGCTAAACACCGTACCTCACTCAAAATCAATTAGTAGCATCTTTTCTGCTAATAATCTTGATAAATTTCTTTTTTTCTGATTATTTATCTTCATGCATTTTCTTTTAAAATCTATTTGTCTTTTTATTGGATTTTTCATGTTTAATTCCTATGGAAATTGTTAGCGATATAAATTGTCATCAATATAAGCTTAAATATGACAAATATTCCTTGCTCTCTCTTTTTGGTTTTTGGATTAATCTAGCTGAAATAAGATAAATATTCCCTGTTCTCTCTTTGTTTTGTTTTTGGATTAATCTAGCTTAAATAAGGTAAATCTTCCTTGCTTTCTCTCTCTATATCTGTTTTGTTTTTGGATTAATTTTAAACATTTGAGACGTGAAGGAGTTGATATGTATTAAAATTATAAATTTCAAATTATATATAACTTAAAATATTTAAAAATTATTATCATATTTAACAAGTATTGATACCATAGATAAATCAAATTTTAAATATTCGGGGATAACATTCTCTTGAAGTGGCTGGCTAACGTTGTTGTCATTTGTATAATAAGCTATTTTATCTCGGGGACTTTAATGAACTAGATTCTTTGATTTTCTCCTTAAAATGACTGTTAAATACTTATTGGAAGATATCAATTTACCATCAACGATAGATAATTTATACACACAAAGGGACAAATTATGTGTTAACATGCAAATTAACCTTATTTTTTAGCAATCAATTAGCTATAGGCTATAGGTACTTTATTCAAAAGTTGAAATGATAAATAGGTGATATTTTGAGGTTTTTAAACTATAAATTTAATTTTAATTTCAACTAATACAAATTAAAAAGCTTTTTCCTTATAAATTCAGATTGAAATACTTGTGACAAGAAAGGTAATTTTTTTTTTTGTGCTTGCGTGTTGCTTATCTCTAATTAGTAATTACATTTCTTTTACAATTCATTTTATTTATAAAAGGAAAAAATAATTTTTAAAATTTTTTAATTTCTACTTTTATCTATTGGAACAATTTCAGATTAGGTTTCGTACACCATAACTAAATCAGTCCTCAAATTCTCAATTTTCTACTCCTCCTAAATAAACAAGTACTAAAATATCAATTCATTGTTTCCCACAGTCTTTTTAACTTTTCCATTTTTTTTTCTTCTCTATCTACTAGAACATCATCCAATCCTTGCTTAAAATACAAGATTTTGTTTTTTTTTCAAAGCTTGGGAAGGACATTGAAAATTGTAGTGCACCATATATGCTTGTTTTTTGTTTCTTACTTGTTTCATACATGTAGAATCACATGCGCGCACCATCTCTAACAAGCAACATACAAAGCATTGTCTTGGAAGTCAAAAAATGTGCCTACTTTGAAAATGGCTTCCCATTTGTCCATAGACATATATGTTCGGGTCCAGTCAGTGGATGCTGGGTCTCCTTACATTGCCAAAATTTCAAAGTTTTTACGATCTCTTCTTGTTTCTTCCCTGTTGCAATACCAATATCATTTTCACACTACCATTTGATTATGAATGGACTAAATATATTAGTCAAAAAACCTCCATCAGAGGGTGGTAAGAGGTCCTTGTATTAGCTAGATGATTCATTAGCCAAATTTTAATTAATTTGGAAAACGAAAATCCAACCACCCATTTAAGAAAGAAAAGAAAGGGCTGGCAAAATAAGCAGATCGTAAGAAATTTGAAGAAACTGATAGGTGAACCGACAGCCGAACCTCAAAACTCATGTAAAATATTGTACTATGAGATGTTATTGGCAACTTAATTTCTGATCAATTAAGCAATCTTATATATAACAACATATGAAACGATCTCAATGTAATGAAATTGATTTAAGAGTAAGGTTATTGAGGTTGGGCTAATGATATCAAGTAACTCAAAATTAAACCTAATCTTGTGTATATATTGAAAAAAAAAAACAAAGAAAAATCGATACGAGAATATCTTGAATGATTAATGTTCAACGTATAAGCGTTGGTTTAGCATTCAACCTTCAATGGTCATTGGAAATTCCTGTTGCAAACCTGTCATAGTTAAGAAATACTTTAAAAAGGCAAAGGCATGATGAAAATAGTGTTCTCCACGCACAATAATTTGTCTTTTTTATTGTATCTTTAAAGACCCCAATTAATGGTCAATTATAGTATATTTATTAAGAAATGACAAGATTTAAAGATGGGAACTAAGATGAAAAAAAAATTGGGATGAGTACAAGAACTAAAAAACTAATTAAATTGAGAAAATTGGAGAAATAATAAAAAAAAAATCAAATCATAAAAAAAATCGATTAAACCAATTAAGATTTTGAAAAAATTAACCGGTTTAGTTTAGTTCGATTTCAGTTTTATAAATCTGAAACCAAAAAAACCGAACTAAAATGAACCATACCCAAATCGGAAAAAAAGTCAAGCCAAAAACATAAAAAACAAGTCAAACCGGTTTGAACTGGTTTTTTTCCTAAAAAACTGAATCGAACCAAAACTATTCAGTTTGAACCGGTTTCGGTTTGATTTTGATTTTTTTAATTTTTGGTTTGGTTTTTTTGATAAAAACTGAATCAAACCGAAAATGATTATCCTCATAAAAAAACAACAAAAAAAATATGATTTTTTTAAATTTGGAGCTAAACATACACTTTGATCTCTAACTTTTCAAACTATAAATTTGCAGTCCCTAACAATTTATAAAATTCAATTTTAATTTCAAACTTTATTTTTTTTTAATTTTTAAGTTTCTGGTTTGAGAGAGAGAGAGAGAATGATCAAATTAAAATAATAAAAAAAATATCTTAATTGAAATTGATTATATCCCCAAAAACTGGTAGTTTTAGTGTTAATGAATTTTTTTTATTAAAAAAGTTTATGCAAAGTGTTTCCTCCACTATTTTAAACTTGTTTAAAATAATAAATTTAAATTTTAAAAAAATATTTTGGATTGATTGCTAGTTTTAGAATCAATTTTTAAATTGTCAATGGCTAATAAGTTGTTTAAAGTTATTTTGTAGATTAAAATATAATTAAAAATAATTTTTTTTAGTTTGAAATAGATAACCTCTCAATTATTGAAATCTAGATGATATAAGTAACATATTGCCAGCTATATTTATTTTTCAAAGTATTAAGGCGCAGTCAAATCATTGTCTACTATTAGAAATTAAATTTTAAATAATAATATAAAAATTACTAATCCTTAAAAAATTAAATTTTATAAATTAAAAAAGCAGATAATATATTTATCTCAAAATCAATTTGATACTTCATTTTAGATTAAAACCTTTTTTTGTTAGAAATTACTTTTATCAAAATCAAGTTGTTATATATTGAAAATGATTATATACAACGTTATATATAGTGTTATATATTTTTTGTGTGTTTGTTTTGAGATGGCAATTTATAATTTAATGATATTTAGTTAGTGATCATATTCTAGAAATAATAAAATAAAAAAAAATAATTATGGTGGTATCAAGTCATGTCGGATATGGCGTTATCATTGGAGGTGGGATCGGTTCCTCTACTTTCTACTCTAAATAGTTGGATTTGATGTCAGTGGGTTATCATTAGCTCTATCTGATCACCATACACGTGGCCCCCCATCTCATCACTATACCAGTATATTCAACGAGCCTTATGATCTGCAGACTTCTTCTTGGTCTCTTGACCCTATGAATCGATGAAACAAGCCATGTTCCAAGCTGGATGAACAGCTATGCCTCGTTAGGCTCCATCATTGACATTTGAAGCAAGTCAAGCCCACTAATAACGAAGCCAGTCTTGGCATCACTCCTAGTCATTTATTTATTCTCCTCTAGAACAATTTATTAGCAGTCGAGGATCATTCTTTCATTATGATGTCATTGCATCCAATAATTGAAGCATCGTTCTTTGAGCACCACTAAATAAAACTATTTGCAGAATCTGATTATTTTTTAAAAAAAAAAGGAAAAACAAAAACTCAAGACTAATGTTGGAGAATTGTCACCACTTTGTTGTTGATATTGAAGGGAAACGAAATGCCAGAATAGCTTTGCCTCTCATGAGCCCTGTAGCAGCATATGCTGACATGCAAAAGTCCCCATCATAGAAAACGGTCCAAATAAGCCCCATCAAATGACACAAGCATTATCTAAGGAAAAAAAGTGTGGCGCGCGAATAGGCTTATCAACATGGAGCATAGAACAAAATCAGCTGAGACAGAGGACTAGAGCTTGGAATCACCATGGCAGCCCTAAGCTGCCATTTTCATTTCACAGTTCATAAAGTTTCTAAGAATGTGATAACCAGGCCGTTAATCTCCTGCTCAATGCAACCTTCTCAGAGTAATATTAAGGTAACAATTTAATCACCCTCCTTTTGAACTTAAAGTGGAAAAACAAGTAAAATACTTTCTCTGTCTCTCTGGTGGGTAATTCTAGGTAGTTATAAATGGAGCAGCAAAGGAAATAGGAAGGGCAGCAGTAATTGCAGTAACAAAGGCACGAGGAATGGAGGTGGCAGGTGCTGTAGATTCCCATTTTGTCGGAGAAGATATTGGAAAGGTTTCCAACTCCTTTTCTCCTTTTGAATCATGTTTGTATGTCCCTTGCTCAACCATTAATCCTTTCTTTTCTTGGCCAAAGTAGCTTTGTGACATGGAAGAGCCTCTTGAAATACCAATAATAAATGACCTTACTATGGTATTAGGTTCCATATCTCAGGTAATTCTATGATTAAACTAATTAATTAGCCTCCTCTTCCAACCAAAAAAGCTCATCGATTGAGCAATTTCTGATATCTTGGCATGCAGTCAAAAGAAACAGGAGTAGTAGTTGATTTTACTGATCCTTCCACAGTTTATGACAATGTGAAGCAGGTTCATTTGCTTTCCATCTTGAAATTTATTTTTACATTTTCATCATCAATTACTACTAACCATAGGCTTTTTTTCCAATTTGGTGATTCTCATTAGGCAACAGCATTTGGCATGAGAAGTGTGGTGTACGTTCCTCGGATTAAACCCGACACGGTTGGAGCATTATCTGCATTCTGTGACAAAGCCAGCATGGTGAGCACAGGGTGAGCTAGATACATATAATTACAGTTCAGATTTGGTGATTCCTAGGACTTACAGAAGCTTCGGCAATCCATCTTAGAGCAGCATGTTATCTGAAATTTTTTGTTGAGATTATTTCATACAGCGAAAATGACTGCAGGGTTGTCTGATTGCACCAACTCTGTCCATTGGTTCTATACTCCTTCAGCAAGCTGCCATTACAGCGTCCTTTCATTACAACAACGCAGAAATTGTTGAATCAAAAGCAAATCCAATAGTAAGTGATAGGAAAAATTTTAAGAAGAGTAATTCAATCAAGCAATGTTTTTTTAATGTCTTTGGTACACAGGATTTTCCGTCAATGGATGCTATTCAGATTTCAAAGAACCTCTCTAATCTGGGTCAGATTTACAACAGAGAAGATATATCTACAGATGTTGTGGTAAGGTTTTCTTTCTTGCTTAATAACCATGATGGAGATCAATCAAGAAGGTTTAAAAAACTTAAACCTTTATAGTTTGAAGAATTGATGAAATGACACGCCGTATAATTTTCATCCTGCAAGGCAAGAGGCCAAGTTATAGGAGAGGATGGTGTTAGGGTACATAGCATGGTCCTACCAGGGCTTCCCTCTAGTACAACTGTTTACTTCTCTGGCCCAGGAGAGGTATGCTTTCTGCTTCACTATTCCCATTTTCTGTTACCAGTAAAGGACCAATCCAACCATTGTTGCTGATGGCCTCAGGTTTACTCTATTAAACATGATATCACTGATGTGCAATCCCTCATGCCTGGCCTGCTCTTGGCTATCAGAAAGGTCATCCGACTTAAGGTAAACCGATTCCAAAAGCATTCATCCCTTTCTTTCGAGAAATTATGACACATACTTGATCCGCATAGACAACAATTTGGCTGAATGGTTCTGCAAACGCCATTGTTATAACTTAGTTTTTTTGCTTCAGTCCTTTTCAAAGTTCAGACATTAATACATGTCTTTGTTATCATGGCAGAATCTAGTGTATGGGTTGGAGAAATTTTTGTGAGCTGCCAAACATCCTTCTCAGGCTTCTGCATGGAACCTAATATTTTTACAGTTTAGACAAAAAAAAAAAAAAACCGTGACATCCTGTGGACAAAAGTTACAGAAGGGGGAGGGAGAAGAAGATTTTTTTACTTGTTACTTTGTGATGAGCATATCCAATTATTTTCATTCACTTTGAAGTTTATGTGATTCAGTAGACTAATTTCATGCGATTTCATGTTTTGAGCTTCTGATTTTTGAGATATAACATGAGGTAGGCTTGTTTAAGGTTCCATATAACTAGTTTAATCAAAGGTAGGGATGCCTGGCAAATTTGATGGGTTTCATGCTTGATCTCTATTTGGTTGCTGAGTAATTCCAGAACAAACAGAGCATTTTAAGCTTCAATTAGATTAACAAAAATAAGATTTGCCCTTAAACGAACAACGGCTTTTACAGCATTCCATGTGATCATATCCAGTTGGGGTCGGTTGAATTTGCCTTAAACTGCAACTTCACACTGTAACTACAGGATTCATGAAAATTTTACTTCTACGAAGCTAATTTATGTTCTTGCAAGAACCAAAATTTCATGTTAATAATCTAATTCACTAGGGGTGATTGGCCGTCTCCGAATCAAGAAGATGTAATCGCCAGGAAAGTTCAAGGGAAATTCGCTCAATGTTTTCAACCTCAACGGAAAATCCTCCTCCCCGTTGGTCCATTCTGGAGATGCTGCAAACCATACTGCTGGGATTGATCTTGAACTTGCAGCTTGGTGCTTTCCTGGAACTGTAGCCTCTTACATAACCGAAGGAGGAGTGTTCATGTGCGATTGTTCCTACCACAATTGCCTTGGTGGAAGGGTCAGTGGGAGTTATAATGCCCGTGTCCATTGACGTATCTGTACCTTTTCCCTTTTCTCTTTCTCTGATCAGTCCCAAGAACTACTCCCAGCTACTGTACCAGATGAGATCCACAGGTAACTTGAAATGTTAAAGTACTAAACTGGTTTGAACCAGGAACTCTATGGATCTCTCTGAATAAAGCTTGCATGTTTATTGTGATAAATTAATGTTTGAATGTAAGTTTCCTAAGCGATGAAATGTGTTGCACGGTGATGGTATTCTTTCACTCATTTTCTTGTTTAAAGGAATTGTTCAGGAGAAATTTTAGCTATCATGTTCTGCAGAAGAAAAGGGAAAACACAATTACTTTATAACAGATCATATATGGGATTTTGAGATTGGCGCAACTGGCGTGACCTTCATCCATAAGTTTGAGCTTAAAAGAACCTCACTTCCCTTGATTTGCAGAGGAAATCCAGCAAACATGCTGTTAACGTCTATCACTGTAGTTCAGGCAATGCTTCAAATTTCCGGTTTTAGCAAGGCAACCGTCACTCTGTCAAATCACATTCCAGCATCAACAAATCGGCAACAGAATGCCCTGCAGAAAAAAGGCGAGCAACAGACCAAACTGCATTCTACTACACCTTTGTTAATCAGCAGCATACAGAAAGAACAATGGAATCCAGATCTCTTAGATAGATGATCTTGGCATTACAAGAGGTACACCAAGTCTGGCTCATTTTGCATGTTGAGTTGCCTCCACAATACAAAAATTGGGTTCGTCTGAGAAGGATAATAAATTACAACAAGATATGCCAAAATTTTAAATATAATCCCAGGAAGAACCCAGGAATAATAAAAAATTACAAGGAGAAGTTCGGGTTCCATTTTAGCACATGGAAAATATAAGAGAGCATAACTGGAGGAACCTAAATGAAAAGCTTACAGAGCTTGCTTGATATAAAAATGATCATAGAGCTTCAAGCAAAACATACATCAGAACGAAAAATGTATTTCACACCCTTAGTAACGTTCCGAGCTTCATGCAGCATGCACTTGTCCCCATGAATATGTAGGAGAGCCATCCCTTCAACAGGAGCCACCTACAGAGTTCAGATGGGTATCACAAGATGCATTGGATTGGATACTTAAACTCATCCATAAGGGTAAGAAAAACAAAAAAGATTTTTGAACACGGAGGAAATACAAATGAAAGGAAGGGAAAAAATAAAAAACAGATTTTGAAATGTAAAATAGAAGGGATTTACATCTACCACGACACTATTCCTTGGTCCATAGAAGACAGTCTCTCCTCCAACTAGAGGCTCTGAGGAAGAATCCTTCTGGCTGTTCGGATCAGTTTTAGTTTTTGCTTTAGTTGCACCACTTAAATATATTAAAAGAGTATAATGAGTGCGCTTCCCATCACCCAGATTAACACTTTCATCAATATGTCGTCCAAAGCGCTGACCAACCTTGTACCTGAAAAGGTAGAAAACCCGTTGAATTCCAATTAAGCATGAAATCCCAAACTATACAGGAGGCACAACGACCTGGTCTTTACTTCTTATAATAAAGCAAATGACAGTACAGTAAAAGCATGCAGGTGATACAGATGTTTCCATGCTAAAACTCAACTGAACAGCAACTCAACTCCACTAATCTTTAATTCTAAACTAGCCGGATCTTCCTAAGATAATTAAGTTATTACAGTTTTATGGATTGCTTGCAACACATTGACAAGTCTCACACCTAGAGTAATACTTCCATATACAAATTCATAGCTCGCAGATGTTTTATAAAATAGCTAGTTATGCACAATTACTTAAATTCACTAAAAGAACTGGAATTTTTCATGGTGCTTCACTATTCAAATGAACAATAAAGCACCTTAATATATTTTCTTAATCGTTTGATAATAAATCCATGCCTTAGGTTTGTCGATTGGCAAGCGTGGAGGCCAGAGGTCACGGGTCACAGGTTTGAGAGTTGAAATGGAATTATTTTCACTAGTGTGACAGATGATCTGTCATCTGTCACATTTTTTTTTTTCCAAAACAATATGGGGCTTAATAAAAATAGTGAAAGGCCAGGCACAAGGGCTTGGCCTCAAGCCCTTACATGGCTGACCTTTTAAGGGTGGGCTGCGCTGGGCGCTGGACCTGCCCTGCTATTTCTTTTCTTTTTTTCACTTTTTTCCTGTTTTTTTCTTTGGTTTTTTTTTACATAGATAAAAAAATTTACAATGTTCACTTACTCTACAGTTTTGACATGGTTTTTAAATACTACTAGAAATTTTCATATTAATTTTAATAAATTTTTTTCAATTATTATGTACCTGATCTAATAATTATAATAATAATAATCTGTATAAAAATTGAGAAAAAAAGTAGGGCAATAAAATTCGACAAACCTGTAGAATCTGATATTTGGATTCAAGCCAACAGCAACCTTCCCCCGAATTTTAATGTCAGAAAACAATTTGCTTAGTCCTGACTCCCACACCGCATTTGCAAGAACAGGATCATTGACAGAAAGTCTATCATTATCTCTATAAGCTTCACCATGTGTTGGACCCAGACTCCCTTGGTGAGCAAAACCAATAGATTCTGCAGCTTTAACAAATGCCTTTACTTCGGCAGAAGAGAAGAAATCTTGCACCTGAACATATCACACAAATTAAAACTATTTCAATCATAAAATTGAAAAAGAAAAGCAGCAAAAGAAAAAACCACTCCTACAAGCACTTGCATATGGTCAGCCTAGCTGAAATGGGAATCAGTCTTTCTTGTTTTGTTGTTATATAGTACTACCCTTCATGTCTAACTAAAGATGAAGAAAAAAGAGTATTAAGGTCACAATTTCCACTATCAGAAATTCAAAAATTTCCTCACTTCAGACAGCTGAAGATAGAGTTGTTATTTTTAGGACACACTGCATGTCTTTAGTCCTGCCATTTTCTTCAGCCAGAGACTGCATTTGCTTATGGTTTTTTCCTCTTTTTAAGAACATTTCATTACATAACACATTCGCATGACAGACTCTTACCTCGTAATCTCAATTCACATCAAACTTGATCATCTAGATACCCCATATATATTACTTTTGATTGCATAACACCCTGCAACCGAGTGGGAGACCTTCCCTCTCTATAAAACTATGGATACAATATAAAATTCTATGACCTCAGCTTATCAAACTAACATCATATCTAAGCTCTAAAACATTCCATAAAAACCTCTCTAGGAAACTATGGATACATTTTAAAATTCTTTGACCTCAGCTTATCAAACTAACATCATATCTAAGCTCTAAAACATTCCATGAAAACAGGTCCAAACTACTAGTATTATTAACCACATAGTCATTCAACAAAATCATTCAACAATCTTAAATCCCACACAACTCATCTCACAAAATGAAGAAAAGTTCTCAATTCTCAAACCAGATTCCTGTTTAAACAATTCAACACTGTCAAAACTCAAAGATTTAAACTTTATCTAAGCCCCCTCATATTCATATCTATTTCAATTTCACCCTTTTATACTCAATTCCCTACCACAACTACAAGACCCATGTCAAAAAAAATACTCAAGGAACATAACCTTGAACAAGAACTCATTCAAACACTTCAAAAACCAAAGTGGGCATGATTGTAAATTTGCAATTGCTAAAACTTGACCGTAAATATGAGAAATTTGTCCAGATGAAAAAGCGAAGACTTACAGTAAATAGATCGGTGTCTTTGAGACGAGTAATTTGGAGATTCTTTTTGGGTTTAATGAGAGGCCACTTTTCTGCTGCTTTTCTATCTCCCATCTTTCTCCTCTTCGCAATTCTGCCCGCTTTTTCTACTTCAGCCATTGATGGCCAGCTCTTAACTCGTGATACTTTGGGCTAATTATATAGTTGTCAGGCTAAAATAAATAAAAATGGGCCTCTATTGGGTCAGCTCACTTTGAACATACAATGAACAAGCCCACAATAATTCTATTTCTTCTGCTTTTTTTGACAACTTCTCAGTATAATTCAATTTCTGAGTCCCTGGCTAGCATTTTGCACTCTACCACGGGGAAGATAAAAAAATTAAATGTCAAAAAGATTAGGCAGTGGAAGAGTTTTTTTGAAATTGATATTAAATCTACCCGCAACTCAAACTTTAAAATTCTTAACTCCATTTTTTTTTATCTGATTTGAGTTTAAAATTAAATTATATATGAATGGTTTAGATATTACTTAATCAACTCATTTAATAAAAAAACAACCTTAAATTATTAATAAAAATATTATTTATTTTTAGAAAAATCTTTCAAGATGACATTTTTTTTTTGTCAAATATAAAAACTTTGTTACTTTGACTTATCAAATTCATGATTTGAATAATGAATTCTATTAAATTCAATAACTTTTTTAATTATTTTTCACTTTGTTATATGATAAAAAAAATTAAATGCTGCAATATTATGTATAGATCAAATATCATAATATTTATTTTAGATCATGATAACCCCATAACAAGCAAAACAAAACAAATCATGAAAAATATTTAAAAACTAATCAAATTTTAAAAGATAAAATTAAATAATAAATAATAAAAACCCAACTTACCTAGACAATATTGAAGAATAAAATTATAAAAAAAAATCAAAGAAAAAAAAAACTTAACCCAATATGCCTCGATCTTTCAGAGAGCTCGAGTGTAATGGCCTAGGACATGCCCATATGTATATGTCATATTTTTTTTTAAAAAGGGCAATTTTTTTAAAAAAAAACAGGCAAAATAAAAAATACACACGATACATTGTTTCAAGAATCTGACCATAACCATGATTGTTAGGAAATCAAGGATGAGAATTTTTGGATTTAAAAATAATTTTTCAATCCATTTTCACCTAAAATACAACTAATAAACATCAAAAAACTCCCTAACCACCTACCTCCTTTTAAAAACCTCAAATTCAACCAAAAAAAATAAACTAAATAAAAAAATCAAAATGAAACTTGGTCTCCTTCTTCATACATTTTATAGGAAACCTTTATCACCATAAAAAAATAAAAAACAATGTTAATTCAGGTTAATTTTTTAAATTCATGACTCAAGATATTAGACCGAAAGCACCCTATCTGAAAAAATAACAAAGTTTGAATCCCAGCCTAATTATATATTAATGGATCAACTTGGAAATAAGTTTTCAAATACATAAAAGGATCCACAACAAAAAAAGATATGATCAAAATTAAAATACAAAATGAGTTTTTTTTTTATTGAATGGTGAAATTAAAATAAAGAATTAATTTAAAAAATGATAAAAAAATAAAAGAATAAGGATCAAACTTGAAATTAATAACAAAAAATAATTTTTTAATTGAAGAATGAGATCAAGAAGAAAAATCAATTCAGCAAAAAGACAAAAAAAAGAGGATGAAATTGCAAAACATAATATATGGCAAATTAAGATTGAGGGATATAATTGAAAATATATAAAACTTTTACAAAAATATCAAGAACAAAAATTAAAAATTAAAAAAATAAGAACTAAATTTAAAATATCGATAATAAAGAAAGTCATACTATAATATATATTTTTTAAATGCCCATTAAAAATAAACCGGACAGTTATTACCAACATGTGCTATACCAATGCAAAAATATTATTTTTTAAAATTGAGAGATTTCACATGTATTATTTGAAAGGAGCAGGCTCCTCTCGCCTATTAAAGAGTGTGCATGCCCCTATATTTTTGTTTTATTTTTTATATTTATTTAAATATCAAATTGTTTCTTAAATTAACATGATAATAACGAAAAAATTACCTCAGAAAGATTAAAAAAACCTCATGAAACTAATTTTTATTTTATTTTTTTGCTTTTTAAGGATATTTTTATCATTTCAATATATTTTTGTTTTTTTACATTTAGTCAAATACCATATTACCCATTAATGTCAATTTAAATTAATTTTTTTTCAATAGTATTTTGAATTGGGAAAAAATTTATTTATATTTTATCAAATTAGTTACGACTAATTGACATTATAAAAAAACTTAAACACTCATTAAATAAAACCACTGTTCCAATTAATACTTACTTCACTAATAAGTTACATTAAAAATACCAACTCATTTAGTTTTTGTTAATTTATCTATGAAAGTGAGCATGTATTTTAATTAATATTTATATCCTTATTCTTTGAAGTGGTTTTGATTTTAACATTTCTTTGTAATAATAAAAAAAAAAGAAATATTTTAAAACAAAAATTGCAATCACATTTAATTCATAGCAAGAACGTATGGATGGAAATGGTTCCCAATTAATCATTGAAAGTATTCTCTTTGCGATGACATTGGAAGAACAAAAAATCATTCCCAATTAATTTCTCGTAAAATTTAATTTTAAATTTGAGTTAAACAAAATGTTTTCTTCTTATTAATTTCATTTTTTTTCTTAATTTTATTATCGATTGAGCGAGTTTCCTTTAATCATAGCATATCAACCATATCACATCACCAGCTCTCAAATATTTTAAATTTAAATATTCTGTGGAGTACAAAACCAAGATGGGACCAATGAACACCAGCAGGTGCCATGTTCCCCACCATCTCCACCCACCAAAATGGCTAACCAACCTTGTGCCACAACGAATCACGTCATTCACCCATTTCTTTTGTCATCTTAAGCCAATCAAATCTCTCCCTCAAAAATTCATAATTACCAACCTTCCTTTTATTACCAACGGTAATAAAAGGGAAGGGTAAGGTTAACTTTTGCAGCATAATCTTTTTTCTAATGAAATCTCGAACGATGAACAATTTAGGTTAAACCTAGCCCTAGTCGGCAGAATAACCTTGAAAAGTCTATAATTCAGAGTTTGATTTGTATCCACTTCTAAACAGAACTAGAATAAGATATTAACTGCATTCCGGAGCTTGATCTAGCGATAGAAAAGACTTGTCTTTTTTCACTATACCTGGGTTTGAGCCCAGACGTACACGTCTGTCATCCCCGCGGTGTCTTACATGCCTATTAGGTTTACAGGGTATTCAGTGGGCTGTGGGGATTAATCGTGGTGCACGCAAACTGGTCCAGACACTCCACGTGAATAAAAAAAGAAAAGAAAAAAGAATAAGATATTAACTTATTCAAACTTATTTCACCCGGCATGATTGATTTATGATACAGTTAACGCGTTTAGCTCAAGTTATTTTTTTAAAGAACAAGATAAGATAATGTTGTTTTGATAAACTAATTAACCTCAATTGTTACTGTGAATCGTAAGTTAATCCGATATTTAATAACTTGGATTTTTTAATTAATTCTAAATTGTATGGGTGATATTGTGGTTTATAATACTTTTTAAAAGTATTTTTTAATTATAAATATATCAAAATAATATTTTTTATATTAACACATCAAAATCATTAAAAAATACATAAAAAAATATTAATTTGATAATTTATATTTTTTAAATATTAATTTGATGGCCTTGAAGATAAGGCCGTAAGGGATCTATCAAAAGATGATGGTTCCCAAAAGAATTGGAACGTGCAGGGGACTTTGTTTCTCCCCAGAGATAAAATAGCAATGGCCGGTTATCATCCAGAAGACAAGCAAATATGAAATTGTGGTGAAACAAGGAGCTATTCTACAGAATCAGGGTACAAGATGGCTGTAGAGATAGAGGCTTTGAGTTATGGGGATAAGCTAGATGGGAATTGGAGTCAGCTATGGAAGCTGAAAGTTCCCCCAAAGATTAGATCTTTTATATATATATGGAGGGCTTGCCATGATAATGCCCTTGTGAAGGTGAGACTTCCCTGGAAAGGGATTTAGACAGATGTCTTATGCTTGTTTTTGTGGGCACGAAGGAGATTCAGTAGATCATGTGCTCGTTCAACGCCAATTTGCAGTCCATCGCTGGAAGGAGCTAGGCTTGCATGTGTCTGTTTCTCGCTTGAATAATCTGTGGGATTAGTTTTTCAATTTGATACAGATTTTTTATGGAGACCTGATCCCTAGAGTGGCGGCAGTATAATGGGTTGTGTGGGATCAACCGAACAATACTATTTGAAGGGTGTACTGGTAATGCAATGGTAAATATGAACTAGATGATTTGAATAGAGAAAAAAATGCATTTGATAAACTCCAACCTCAAGAGTATACAATCACTTCTACTACTGAGAAGAATCAAGCTAAACATGATTAGAAATTAAATTTGCTTTTAAATGATTATAAGTTTGAATTTTTTTAGATTTATTAAAAATTTATATAATTATTAATTTCAAAATCTATAGAATTAATTGAGATATATACAAATTAATTAAAGAATTAAATTAATAAAAATATAACTAAATGCACAACTAAATAGATGCTGCCATCTTAGAACATAAGGTACGAAGGTTGTATATAGTTTTGATAAAATTAACTGAGTTACCAATTACTGATCATGTGTTGAAATTTCCATTTCCTCTTTGTTTTGTCCATCTACTTGTTTTCTTTATCCTCATTTGCTGATCTATCACAATTTGGACCAACGCATTGCACCAGAGACAGCCACTCAAAGATAATTTTTTTCTCCACGATTTAGGCATGTAGGCCATGAGCCCATCCAACCCTATCTCTTCTCTTCAATAATGGCTTCCGTATATACTGAAGACTCGACATGTCCATAAATATGCATCAAGACAGCACTGCCATGCCCTACTCTTTTCCTCAAGCCCTAAATTATGTCTAGCTATTTAGCCCCTGGCAGACGCTCCTCTCCTGTCTGACCAGAACACATGTTCTAGGGAGATCGAAAGGTCCATGCGGTCAATTATGGGGGTGCCCATGATTAGCATGTAAGACTTCACTGTAGAGGAATGGACATGACAAGATTGTTATAGAAA